ACTTCATCATTATGAAGGTACTGATATCAATATCTGGGTAAGTAGTATTCACCGAATCACCATATGCTAAATTATTCCAATTTAGCTTTTGAAAGCAAATATCTATTATTCAAATATCTAGTCAAAAATATTTCTTTTTGTGCTGAGTCTTACGTCGTGAGATAGTAAAATTCTATCATCATCATCATTTCAGCCATAGGACGTCCACTACTGAACATAGGCCTCCCCCAATGCTTTTCATGTTGATCGATGCTTCCAGCGCTTCCCTGCTACCTTTACGATGTCGTCGGTCCACCTTGTAGGTGGACGTCGCACGCTGCGTTTTACGTATAAAAATCTATATAAGTAGTTATTCATACATTTACGAATAGTGGTAAAATGTGCAAAACCTTCAGCTTGGATGCTCACTCTGGATCTTCAGCTTGGATGGAACTCTACTTATTATAACAATTTATCGGGACTTATAATCTTTGTTCCTTAGCCTATTACAGAATTATGCAACAATAAAATACCTACGCAGTAAGTTTGGGGGGCCAAGAAAAGTTGTTATAAAGCTAATTGCTATATTTAATGTGACTTCGGCACGAATATAACATCAATTAAGTATTTCTTCGGTAAAGTCTGCTGAAAATGAAGTTATTTAATAAACGTGAACTTTATTTATGGAAATTACATTAGCATAGACAACTCTATTTAAATATTAGTGTACAGTTTTAACGATTCACTTATTGCTGTATTTTTATTTATCGTTTGTCTCTTTTATGCAGACATAAAACATAAAAATGAGAAGTAAGGTCGTTGCCATTTTGAACTACTTACCTCGAACTGTTATTCATTCCTTGAAGAAGTATACTCGTATTTGTAACACTTTTTGGTTGTTTCCAGTCAGGTTTGCTTATAACCATCATTTAGTTAATAGGGAAGGGGGATTCCATGCTTATTAGTCGCAAAAGAAGTACCTAGGTTAGATCTGTTCGACAAAGCAATAAAAAAAACCTAGGTTAGCTCTTTAAAGTCTGTTGATAGGTCTACCTTTGCGGGAAGAAATTGGTCTGATTTAACGAGATTTTATTAACTTATCGATACTATGAAATGGATTTAGGACATCACTATTTGGCATATATTCAAAAAGCAATTTTCTTTTTTATTAATTTCCAGCCAGTGTTTTTGTACAAAAACATAAAAGTTATTCCATAGATGTATGTTTTATGAAAATTCCATTATGAATAGGTTTCCGTTGACGGGCATGGTGGGACACGACATAAAATGCAGTTGGGACTTTGTGTGAAATATGAAAAGTCCTTTGTGATGGAAATCACGGGTATGGAATTTATGTTGGAAAAACATATTCATTGTGAAAATATGGGTAGGTATTTATTTAATTCTTAAACTTATAATTGTGCCACATAATATAATTTGTTCTAAGTAAAAAAATTCACGTGAGTATAAGGGCTCGTTCCTACAGCAATTCAGTTTTGCGGGATTCAGTAATGCAGGATCCTACAAAAGACGGTTCCAACAAAAAACGGGATGTCTTCGGAACAAGCTCTAAAGTAGAATCTGATGTGGACATTGTTAAGATCGGTGAAAGTAGGATTCCAAATGAATTGATGATCATATCATACCTGATGAACAAACTTACTAATGAACATAATAATATTTGTCACCGTATTGAAATTAAGATATTTAAGGGCAAGCTATAGTTAGGACGTGTATAAGTGCCCTATAAAGGGCCTATGTACTGAATAAACTATTTAATTTAATTTCATTAAATGTAATTTTAACACTTTTGCATTCTCATTCGCATCGCATTAAATGTGCATTTTTTCTTGACTCAGTTCATTTATAATAGTTACTTCATCGAAAAATCACAAGCCGAAGATTCCCCCAGTCTACCGAATCCTTCTGTCGTGATTTCGGCTCATAAAACTCTTTTTATCGGGCAATCTGAGGTCATGACGCAAAGATATTCCTCTTAGATATTCCTTACACAATAGAAACTGGGTGAAGGCCGGTTATGTGTGAACCGATCGCAGTGCAGTTACACGCGGTCGTTAAGGATAGTAATAAATCGGTTCAGTAATAGATCCCTTGCTATCATAATTGCATCTAATAGTTACGGACGGCGCACAAGGCTGTAATTTGCTGAGTTTTAGCTGCATAAATGCAGGTTATACAGCTTTAGGTTATTAGCAAACTTTTAGTCACACATGTGTGGGTACGGTTAAACCCAAAATTTTAAGTTCCGATATTTTTATTACATCAAGTTTACTCAAGTGCTTTCCAGCATTATTTTAAAAAGTTTTGTTTATTGTGTAAATATTACCTACTTCTTCGTTGAAAGGCACACATCATCATCGCCATCATAATTTCAGCCATAGGGCGTCCACTGCTGAGCATAGGCCTCCTTGAATGATTTCCACAATGGCCGGTTGGTGGCGGCCTGCATCCAGCGCCTTCCCGCTATCTTTATGAGGTCGTCGGTCCACCTTGCGGGGTCCACCTTGTGGGTTATTAAATAGATTAATATTCTGAAATAGAATAAGGCGTAGATTTGTTACTATGTACCTTCAGAAAATTATAAAAGCGATTCTTTGCATCTTAGACTTCCAACTTCCGTCTCCATCTTAGCAGTCTTGTTTATTTTTCTCGTAGCAAGTGAAATTTTTACTAAAGCCATTGTATTCAGTTTTTCCCAGCATAATGCACGTTGCAATTTCAACCAACGGTTGCTCATTCATCTGCGTTTTGTTTCCGCCTCGGTTCCGAAACAAAACGAGATGTAAGCATTCTGTTCGCAGTTTATACAGCTTTTATAAAGCTTTTTTGCTGCTGATTCATGTCGTCAGTCGTTAGACTAGACATGCTTTCCCTGCCATGTTTTAAGGAACCTGCAACAAATGATTTTGAGTATTTTCAAAACATCTTACGTTCATGTTGCCCATCCCCATTATTTTACAATCTAGCGAACATAAAACGAAGAATAGTAGCCTTATTATGCTTCACGTCACTCCTTCCTTCCCTTTTCAACCTAACGACGACCACTGCTGGACAAGACTCCCCAAGGATTTCACAACAAACGGTGTTGAGTTGTCCATATCCAGACTCTTCCCGAAACCTTCAATAAGTTTGCTGTATTTTCAAACTTAGCATTACTATGTACATATTAAATAATGTAATGGACCGAAGACGCTGGATGCAGCCGCATGGCCGCTGCCAACCGGTCATTATGGAAGTCATTGGATTAGACCTATATTTAGCAGTGGACGTCATGGCTAAAATGATGATGAATGTAAAGATTGACCATACCAAAATACACATTACACTATCAAAATATGGCCATGACGTCATATTATTGCCGAATCATCAATGCCGTCTCCATATTATAGCTGCTCGAAGCCAAAGTAGTCGACTAGACGAGCCACTGTAAGTCAATAAATCAGTAAGTAAAACCTTGCTTCATCATCCCCCCAAAAATCACAACAGCTCGCGTGCTATGAGGAATTAAGTCCATGTAAATCCGACCTTGCCACTTTGTGTATTAGGTGCATTATTCTGCGGCTGGCTTGCGGTTGGTGACCACACGTTTTCATGGCATTGAAAAGTTGAAAAGGGACTTTTGCCTTGAAATACTTCAAATACTTGTAGTAACTATTTAGTCGCTGAATTTTACATTAACTTTAGGAAACCACGTATCACTCACTATTCCCTTCACTTTAGTTTGTTGCCTCTTAGGATTTGAATAACTATTTTTCCAGTTTCTCAGTTTCAGTCACTTTCAGTCTCACTGATAGCTCATTCAACCACTTTCTTGTCCTCTACATTCTGCATAGTAGCCAGTAATGTTTGTTTATCATTTATAGGGTCCTGTCCCATACCTATCTTGCCACTGATTTGAACCTTACGTACTAAGCATAAGTTCGAAAATCAATAAATTTTCAGCATGCCCTACAGAGGTTAAAAACCAGTAAATGTGACGTGCAATACAAATTACTAATTATTATATAAAAAGGTGAATGTGACGTACCTATATCGTCTCTAAATAACGTGCCCTCAGAAGAAAACCAGTGTGCTTACCATGAGATTACGTTAAGTGTGCTCGCAAGCGAGTGCGTCAACATTTTTTTTACGCAGTTGCTAGCGAGCACACCTAACGTAAACTCATGGTAAGTACACAGTTGATGTATCTTAATATCTCTACAAATACTTGGAGCATAGCCACAGTATTTGTAAGCGATGCAGGTCGGCGCGATAATAGCTTCCGTGCGATAGCTGAATGGGCCGCTCTTTGTGCTGAGCAAACTGAGGTTTTTGCGTGATGGACTGCCGATACCAGTGCTTCGATCGCTTACGAGTAATGTTTGCTTCAGTTTCTAGTAAAGAGTTTTCTAAAGTAATTTAAAAAATGCGACTGTGAACGTCGTTATTTTGATTTCGCTCGCTACCCAATCTTATACTTCTATACTAATATTATAAATGCGAAAGTAACTCTGTCTGTTTGTCTGTCTTGCTTTCACGCCTAAACCACAGAACCGATTTTGATGAAATTTGGCATAGAAGTACTTTGAGTCCCAGGAAAGGACATAGGATAGTTTTTATCCCGGTTTTTGAAACAAGGACGCACGCGATAAAGTTTTTCTGCGACAGACAAAATTCCACGCGGGAGTAGCAGCGGGCGGAAAGCTAGTTGACAATAAATTTTACAATTCGATTAGATACGTAACTTTATGATCTTGAATATTGTCTACATTTCTACAGTCAGCCCATATGTATTAAAAAATAACGATATTTTACTGTCATCTTCTATACGATGAGATTGTTGGTAATAGATAATCAAATCAAAGTTGTATGATAACTCCCTAACAAGTACTATTTCTTCCTTAATTCTTTTCAATATTTAATTTTTAAAAGTATTTTAAAAACTACCACGTTTACTTCTCTATCTATGAGGGTAGACAAAATGACCACACACCGCCATAATCGTGTTTCCAAAGTGCATTCTACCCGCAGTATCCACTATCGCGGAAACCATTCACCTGCTCGTGGTACGACGGAGCACGAACAAATGAGCTGGAGAGATAGCATGTGACTGCTATTTGCAAGAATTTGTAAGGTGCTGTAACGAAACTTAAAATTGTAGGCAAAAGGAAGACTAGGGACAGACAATAGAGGTCCTACTGATGGTATAAATTAATGTAGAATTAAACTATTAAAACTAATAGAGTATTGTATTCTGCAAGCAATCTTCCAACTTAATAAACAGAATAGTAGTAATAATTGTGATATGATATTGCATTTTATCGAGGACCGCTAATTTCACTTTTGTCGATTCTTATAACAATCTTAATACAATTTTCTATAAAAAAATATGTATATTGAAATTATTGAACACCTGAGTGAATTATTAACCTTTCCCCAAAAGCCCGGCTCAATTTAGGTACTACTTCATTGTTCCAACTGCGATTGACAAGCTTTGTTCCTCGAGATTGACAATGGTTGAAAGTCCAATAACCTTTTACAATAGACTCTATTTTCGGCAGAAAAAATGTAGACATAGGGCTGATTTTTAAATCGTCGGATAACTTTTAGAGTAGGTGCACACCGTTGATTTTTCGTCGGCCGATAGTTTAGTCGGGCTGCTGATCAGTATGGGCATGTATGGGAGTGCGCACACTACGCTGATTCGATTTGGGCGATTCTTCATACAAATTAAAATCGGGCACAACTATCGGCCAACTAAAAATCAACGGTGTGCGCCTACTCTTAACTGAAGAATAAGTTTGGCACATTGACAGTTTAAGGCTGAGTTGCACCACTTAACTTTGACCGTAACTATAACGGTAAACCGGTGTTTTTTGTATGGAATTTGACAGATTTTTTACTTTTGTCAAAGTTAAATTAAGATGGTGCAACTCAGCCGTAGTATGGGAATTTTCTTTTGTAAGTATGTTACTTGCAATCGAGATTGTATTAAACGCTTAGGCTGAGTTGCACCACCTAACTTTAACGGTAACTATGACGATAACCGGTGTTTTTTGTATGGAGTTTGACAGAATTTTGACGTTTGTTAAAGTTAAAGTAAGATGGTGCAATCCAGCCTTAATAACGGAAATTCTACCGTTCTAAGGGCTGATTTATCAATCGTTAGATATCTTGTATCAGTTAAAATAAATCACCGGTTATCGTCGTTAAAATTATATTTTATTCAGCGACATTTCTGGTATCGTAATATTTTTTTCCAAAACAAACGTTCACGCGAATCATCGTCGTCTTCCATCACCCCCTTTCATTAGGTATTCTTTCAAAAGATCCAAATCACACCTCAACAGTAGCACTTCCAAAAGCCCGTTCGTCGGCACTTCACCGCGCTTCGGCGTGATAAATGGACGCCGCGGTGTCGATTGGCACGCTTTGTTCACGTTGTTCACGTGAACGCCGATTACTTTTCAATATTGTCTGCTTCGGAAAAACTAACAAACTCCACTATGAATTTTCCAACGATAACTTTATGCAATTACCTTTGTGTTTTGATGGGAGAGCCAACATCCCATTTTGATTTTTATAGGTTGCAGTAAAAATAGCGAAATTTATACAAAAAGGTAGTTATCCGAGATTGACGTCTATTGTGGGTCACTAGGGCTAAGATGCACCACCTTATTAACCGTGACTATAACCATGTTTGCAACCGGTATTTTTGTATGGAGTTTTGACGTTTGTTAAAGTTAAAGTAAGATGGTGCAACCCAGCTTTAGTTTGACATTAAGTTATCAGATGAAAACATCTACAACATAATGTCACAAATATGTGTTGTGTGACACTTACTTAAACATAGCATTTAAGTGCCTAATTGTAGAGTAGGCTATCACAGTCTAACTACTTAAGTCTAATGCCCGTATTTACATACCATGCTTGCTTAAGTGAAGCAGCAAATCGAACGTGCAGCGTTGAACAGAGCTCTGTGATTGGTTCGTGTGTTACCCTGTGCTGGACGCACAGTGAGACCTTATAGTAAATGTTTGTGAATACGGGCGTCAGTCTAGTCAGGTAAAATACAGGCCAAGAGTTTCCTCGTTGTGGTTAAAAGAAACCTTTGATGTAGAGTCGGGAAAAGTAAATTTAAAATTCTCGAGTTGATTTGCCAGTGGAAGTTTTTTTATTAATTTGTAGGGCAGCAGTACAAATGCATTTGAGAATTTAATTCCACAGCTCTTAAAGTCCCAGTAAAGAAATAACTAGAATAATATGATTTCTTTCCAATCAATTCAGTTATGAGACCGGTTGAAATGGCTTCATCATGAATGCGCCAAGGAAATCTTTTACAACCAAGAAAATTGTAAATAATATTCAAAGGACGGCCTAATGAAAATTGCACTAAGCTATAGGAAATTTCTGTTAATTCAATTTATAGTTCCTTTTTAGTAGAAGTAGTTTCCTATTTAATGGTAAATAATTTTACTGATAAATTGTTTGCATATTTCTAAGTTAGCTAATTAAAATTCGAAGAATTAAGTTTTATATTGAATGTTATTGTTCATTTTATAAATACAGATGCGAATTCAATTATTTTGCTGTCAATATTTTTTGCCCATTTTTTACGATATTTTCACCTGTTAGAACGTTGATCACAGTTCACAGATAAATATTGATTCACTCGTTTAAATAGAGCAAAATAAATAGAGCAATTTCAGAGAACAACTTTTTAAGTAAAAAATATACCTACTTAAAAAAAGTTGCACGAACTTAAAGTTTTAACATTTTTATTTTATTTTCTTATGTTTCAAAAGTAAACAAATCTTAGATAGTTACTCCTATTGTTACCGACTAGGTACATGAGTATAAGTTTACTAAGAATTATCAACCAGTAACTTGTAATCACAGCTTGTAAAGACTACAAAATACATCGATTTTAAAGCGAGCCGCGCATTATCCGAAGGCAAACTTGCATATGAATTAGAAATAAAGTGTACAGTCTCGCGAGCACCGATGAATATTTCAACGGAGGTGTCATCGGGCACGTCACTAGTCCATCGATCTGCGACATCGATATCTGCATAGCGGGGCCTTGACATGCTCTAATCGTGTCACCGCACTAGCTCGTTGGTGTTAGGGCTCGTTTAAACTGTGCTTTAAAATTTTAGTACTTTCATTTTCATGGAAATAAAATTGACACATCTTTTGGTCTTGTCATCATTGCATCGATTACTTGTTTGTAAAGATGTGTTGTTGGTAGATCTTTGTCAATAAATAAATAAAATAATAAAATTTTAAGCTAAATATGGCGGTAAAATAGAGACGAATACCAAAGATTACATTGATAAAACTTAGATTGATAAAGATACCTTGATAAAGCGATGGTATAAATACATAATTATATTCGTGAACAACGTGTAAGTAAGGGATCTAAGTAGGTATAGGTTGATTGCTGAAAACTTTAACTGTAAACTTTCATCAATATGCCGAACTTAAAGTTTTTCATATCTCCAAAAAATACATTTTGAACCTTTTTATTAAACTACGTAACTTTGCACAAAAAAAATGGCATTTTGGAGGAGAATGCTTTTATCATGAAGTCCACTATTTGTAAAATAAATGAATAAAATTTTTCAGGCAAGAATCCCTAAGTCAATAAATAAATAACCCTCCTTCTGGCGCAGTCGGGTAAAAAGAAATCTAAACAGCGTACATGGTACATCACAGCGTGGACACACCTTTACAAATAATTAGTGCTTACGTGAAAAACGTTTAGATGTTATCAAAGTGTGAGCACTCCCTAATAGCGGGTCTTTTAGCAGTAAGTATTTAAAGGTGTCATTACGAGAACGTGGAAAGAAAAATAGTAATTATACCCAACTATTACAACGTTAGTTGTCCACTTATAAGTTTAATTGGTTTTTGTTTGGGAACTAAAATACTTAGATAATTTTTCTCTGTTTTGGTGTGGTTCTGACTACTTTGCGTAGTTTTATGTATTAGGTTTTGATGTTGCAAAGAATATTAAAAATAGTTCTGTTGTACATGCTTATGTTAGCATACCTATAAGATAATAAATAAGCAATAAGAATTAGTACTACCTAAGTTATCATAACCTAAAATATTTTTTATTTGCAATTTGGCGTTCTCTTTCAGTCAACCTTTGGGCCAAGTAGATATCAACATGAAATTTAATATGCGTCGTCACTACCATTTTAAAAACTAAAATCGATAAGACAACTACTACTACCTACTCTCATTTATGTGAGAAAATTCTTTTTTAAGTTAACAATAATCAATCTAGGTACCTACTTATTGTTTACTTTATGCATTAACTAGATTCCATAAAATAGTAAATAGACACGCTGCACCAGACTTAATCCTAGTTGTCAAGTAGAAGAGGTGTACATAATCCCCTTAGCTAGGTCAATTAGTTATCAAGTACTAAGTATGATCGAGAATAGGCTCGTATGACAGGGGAAATTGGAGAACATACAGAGATTTTCAGTACCTATTGAAGCCTAGAGAGTACGTTATAGCATAGATTTCTAAGTAATATAAATCATAAAATAAATAAATCATTTATTTCCCCTCATAAACTTAGGTTAGCAATTACAGTAAACTAAGTACTCGCACTAATGAAGAGGAGATTATAAAATATTGTAATAAGAATACATCCTGTTTACTGTGACATCACCTAGTCTTAAACTAAATAAAGATTTTAGATAAAAAAACGTAACTACATACATTTTTTTTTAAAACATAAACGGTCTGCAATCCATATTATCTGTTTGTTGTAAGCCATGTGGGATTATCATTCACATCATCATCTTGCTTTTATTCTTTTGTAATGCAAAATGTAGCTTGTGCTTATTTAAATAAATACTTTTTCATTTTCATTTTTTCATTTCAAATACTGAGGTTTTATGTGGTTACAAAAGGGGCTATTTTGCAATTAACGTGTATATTTTGATGTGCTATCGACTGTACCTTTGTTGACTATGTTTACGAATTGCAGAGAGCTTGTCAAGTCAGCCCCTTTGAGTGGGTTGAGCCTTTGATTCAAGCAAATGTTAAACCGCTCGATCGATAGGATTGACTGAATATAATTAAATTTCGATCTGACTAAGGAAGATATTTCAATGG